TGATTAAGAAACAAATCTTTTGAATTAGATGCTCAACAATACTAGAAGCATCTAAAATAGTGTTGTAACATCTGTACAATTGCAATTGACATTAGAACCTTACTAAACCTGTCCGGAGCAGACCTGTTGTACAGATCACAGACTGACATTATAAAAGCTGACTTCACAGAAACACTGTCAGACATTAATGCACTGCTCGCTCATTCACTGGACATTTTGGCGAAAAAAAAAAAAAATCATAACGCATCTCCAAACTCATGAACAATGACTTTGTTGAGATGCAAGTATGTAACATGAACATGACAGCACCCAGGGAGATCATAAATCTCATAAATTAAAAAAATTTATCAGAAAGTTGACTTTAAACAAAATAAATTGCATCAATAAATCGAAGTTTTGAAATGAAATGACAGTGGAAACTGTGTTCAAGGCCACATAGGTAAAAAAAAGCATTTGTATTGTAAACAGTATCTGATGTGACCAGTGGAAGCTTATTTTTGCCACAGAATAAAAATGTAAAAAAGTAATTGTGACTTTATATCTCTCAATTCTGGCTTTTTTTTCTTGCAATTCTGAGGTTATATGTCACAATTCAGAACTTTTTTTTCTTCAAAATTGAAAGTATACTCAAAATTGCAAGATATCATTGTGAGACATAAACTTAGAATTATGATTTGTGAGATATAAAGTCGCAATTACCTTTTTTATTAAAAATAAAAAAAATAATTGTGACTTTTACCTTGTTTCTGCAATTGTGAGTTAGCAGAATTGGGAAATGTTGAGTTCATATCCCACCATCTGGGCTTTTTTCTCAGAATTCCAAGATAAAAATTCACAATTGCAAGAAGAAAAGTCTAAATTGTGAGATACTAACATGCAGTTCAGAGAAAAAAAGTCCAAATTGTGAGATATTAAATTGCAATTGCTGTTTTATTTTTTAATCCATAAAAAAAAATTATTAAAAGCTAATTGCAACTTTTACATTGTTTTTACAATTGTGAGATAATATATCATACTACGTCAAAATAAGTCAGAATTGTGAGACAAAAAGTCACAACTACCTTACAATCTTCCATAGTGACAACCTACATATAACAAGCACTGTGCGCTTTTGTGTTTGACTTCTCACCACAAGTAATCTGAGACCCTCCCCTACAAAATCACTAGAAAATCATAATTAGATCTGATCTCAAATCATCAAACAGTCTGACTGGCCACAAGTAGGCCTGTCGCAATAATCAATACATCGACTTATCGCACAATATATGTACATGACCTCAATCATTTTTGGTGACGCACATTATATTTACTTAACAATTAATGTCACCATGTTTTGTACATTCCACTTGCGACTGTGTCTTTTGCAGCTTCTCGTACATAACGTGGTGTAGTCATGAGGTGCTAGTTCAAATTTAAAAAATGCTTCTACAAAAAAAGTTTCATCTGCAGATATGGTCTTGTTTAGGGATCTGTCTCTTTGTGCATACGGACATCTGACTGCTGAGTAGTGATTGTGTTTTTCAGCAATCGTGTGCACCCTTAATTTACAGAGAAAAGAAGGTCCGGGAAAAATCTGTAGATGGAAAAATCTCCATACAAGTTCTTTGTGCATTTTTCTTTTTTTCTACTTGTTACTTTGCACTTTTTGTTAGAAAATGTTTATTTACTATTTATTCATTTATTCAGGTTTTTTAAGGTATCTAGTATTTTGATACTTAATTTCCATGATCTAAATATTCTTAAAAATTAAAAGTTTGTTGTCATTTGGAAGTGTGTAGGCCTTCTTGCATTATTATGCTGTTACATTAAAAAAAATGGCAATAATATCGCTAATCGCAATTATTTCTGGGGCAATATATCGCACAACAAAAAGTTGTAATCGTGACAGGCCTAACCACAAGCGATCAGATCACCCAAAATGAAGGTTTAAAAGCGCTCACCTCTGAGTACTTCCCCCTGTAATTGCCGAGGCTTCTCTCGACCCGGTGCAGGCGGTTTAAGAGCTGCTCTTTGGACAGACTCTCAGCGCTGCCGGGCAAATCCTCCGCCTCGCTCTCGATGTCTGACGGAGGGTCATACGCCGGTGACGACTGGGCTTCATTCTCTCCGACGAAAGTGAGCGATTCTCTGGAGGAGCTTCTGACCAGACTGTCCCGGGAGCCGGAGCGGAAGAGCCCTTCACCGTGGGCCGAACCCCGGAGCAAAGACTCCACAGAAGAAACCTTCTGCTGCAGCTTCTGGGCCAGAGACTGAGACTCCTCTTTCTGGAGGACAACGAATGCTTTGAGTATACAAGCATTTTAATTAATGATAATTAGATGAAAAATACGTAGATTCTGTTTAAGGTCAAAGATTCAAACTGTGATCAAGCCTATTACTCAAAAATGACAGCAAAAAAAAAAAAAATAAAATACATTATTTATAATTCTAAGAATAATACTAATACTAAAAACAATAATTACTATTAGTTCTACTACTAATAATAATGATGATTGTTGTTGTTATAATACTAAAATATACTATTTAATACTAATTAATCATATTATTATTAATATTATGTTATTGTTATTTGTATTGCTATTATTATAAATAATAAAGTTATTTAATCATTTTACTACTAATAAAATAAATTATTTGTAATACTAAGATTAATTCTAATAGTAAAAAGTAATTATTATTAGCTAAATAATAGAAATAATAATAATAATTATTATTTAATTTACAATATATGATATACTTATTTATTTTATAATTTCATAATTTTATTATTTTTATTTCACATTTTTATTTATATATAACTTACATTATATATGCTAACTGTAAATTGGTATTTATACACACCTAATGTTGCATTGACTGATTTATGCAGATTTCAATTTACAAGAATTATGCTTCAGTACTTTTATACTGTTTACAATGAGAACTTATTTTGAGGGAAAATGTGTTTAATTGTCATTAAAACAATGCAAAGGGAGATGCGATGTCTGTCTGACACACAGTAATGTGCAAAATTCATTTTATTCAGTTATTTATATTTTTGAAGGAAGTCTCTTCTGCTCAGCAAGGCTACATTTATTTGATAAAAAATACATTAATATTGTGAAATATTTTTACAATTCAAAATAACTGTTTTCTATTTGAATGCATTTTAAAATGTAATTTATTCCTGTGATGCAAAGCTGAATTTTCAGCATGATTACTCCAGTCTTCAGTGTCACATGATCCTTCAGAAATCATTCTAATATGCTGATTTGCTGCTCAAGAAACATTTCTTGAAAACAGTTGTGCTGCTTCACATTTTTGTGAAAACTGATGCTTTTAAGGATTCTTTGCTGCCATGTATGCCAACAAAAATCCTGCATCAGACACTGTGTTCAAATCATCTGCAATGCATGTCATTTAGTCACTTCAGATGCAATGTGAACAGGTCTTTGGTCCACTTTTAACACTTCATGAATGTGAAACACAAATAAAGCACATTAACTATTACTTGCCTGAGGAGAAGCGATTCCATCCCCGTTCACACTGCCTCTCGGAGAGCTGCCGGCCGCTTTAATGCTCTGCATCAGAACAGAACCGTCAAACATGAGTGAAAGTGTGTCTCTGCAATCAACAGGAGGGGTTAGTATTCCTCCGGCCCATCGTGCTGCACCCCGATTACTCTGGGAGCAGTATTAGTGTTTGCTACGAGAAATGCAGGGGCTTCTGGTTACACCAACCCTAGCCTCATGCAACTCGGAGAGGAACACATGGGGTTAAACACAAACGTAGACAGCATAACTACTGCGTTACACAAATGAGGAGTTAAACACAGCAGCACTACACTAGCAGCTTTGTCAACTGCAATCAGTTCGAACCCGCTAGAGGAGCTGGTTACTGAGAGTGTGTGTGTTTGGCATTGTGGAGTTCAGCAGGGGTTAGACGGCCACAGCGTTCTCCCTGAGGTAGATGAAAGAAGTCATGGGTAATGTTACTCGGTTTATAATGGCAGACATGAGAAAGAATCATCATTGTCAAATTCTGCTTTCTATCCCTACTAATACGTGAAAAAAAGCAACATGCACACTGTATAATTATTTCTTTTTCAGGTATAGCATTGGCAACAAGGCACACTGGCAAGAATTTACTCTATTTCAATTGTTTTAAATTCATAAAACACAGATTTAAGCACAATGCATGAAATAAAATAACAATAATAATAATACTGTTGTTGTTGTTATATGATAAATATTAATACTGTTGATGTTTTTCTTAATTATAAATAATAATAAAATTATTGTTATTAATAATAATATAATTATAATTAGGGTTGCAAAGGGGTGGACAATTTCCGATAATTTTCCGGAAACTTTCCAAAAATCCCTGGAATATTCCAAAAAATCCTGGAAAGTTTCTGAAATTTTCCACCTTTTTGCAACCCTAATTATAATACATAATAATAATACTAATACAAATATTAAATAATAACATACATTATGATTTATAATGGTATGAATAATACAATACTAAAGGTTATTATTATACTAATAATTATATCATTATATAATACTATTGCTGTTGTTATTATAAATATTAATAATGATATATATATTTATTTATATATATATATATATATATATAATACTGCTAGTAATAATAATA